CAAACAACCTCAGTGTGATACCCAAAAACATATGAGATGCACTGTGATACCACTGTGGTGTCACCGGAGGACGGAGGTCGGGGGACGGAGGCGGGGAGACGGAGAGAGAAGAGAGGAGATAGGAGAGAGGAGAGAAAATACCTAAAATGTCCTTCATTAAAAATTTTAATTAAAAATTACCAAATTTATAAATTTCCTAATTTATCTATTGATTTGTGGTTGAGATTGGTCCTCACGGCTACCAAAAACTAATTAGTTCTCATTTGATTAATCCCCTATATATATATATATATATATATATATATATATATATATATATATATAGATTTTAGTATTAGCAAACCGATTTTTTTAACTTATGGGATATGACCCAAATATATTCATAAGCCCCACATAAAGCCTAACATCTAACATAATCAAATCCAAATGAATTGACGCCTAAAAATCCCTAAACCAGGAAACATATTGATACATTTGACATTGACGGTCTCCAGATTTTGAAATCCCTCAAGAACCTATCGATTTTTCCTAATCCATGGTTTAATTTCGGCGCACATCATCAAGACATCAACCAAATGATTCTACCAACTAAGATTTGACTTCTATTTTGTTTGTTCAAGAACTCAAAACTCAAGAATTGAAGATTGTGAAGTTGTGGATTTTGTTACTCAATACTCACAATGGAGTTGTAACTTTGTTAATTTGTTTGTTTTCTAATATGTATTATGTATTTATTTGTTTGGACTTTGGATTGCTTGGAATTTGGACTCAATAGCTACTTAATTATTACATTTATTTCTTTGGATATTTTGTTTTGTTAAAATGGATATCTAATCTAAATTTTTTAAGTTATACATGTTTTTTAAGTTTAATATTTAAAGTCCATTAAAAGCTCAAACCGTCTAAACCGATCAAACCAGATCGTCTTGATGCCGAAATCCGACAGTGGTGGCATGAGGAAGACTGCCGATGGAGATCGTCAAAGTTGGAGGCCGAGGGGAAGATTTTTATCACAGATATATGAATCGAGAAGGGCTTTCGAGTGTAAGGGGAGGATGAAGAAGATTAGTGATCTTGATTTAAGGGTTGAATAATTAAAAGATTTTGGTTTTATTTAAGGTTTTTGTTTATGGGGTTTTAATTTAAGTTTAAGAGAGGATGGGAATTATAATAAGAAAAATACAAAATAATAATAAATGATCTAAATGGGGTGTTTGACCGTTATTGAATGATTTGGTGCTGAATTATTAAGTGATCATAATGATTAAGAGACTCTTATGATATAGTGCAAAATGAAATATAAATTATTTGGTAATTGTTTACATTGAAATTAGGATGCTGAATGGTCAAAGGAGGTCTGTGATAAAAACTCATTCAAAGGGTTTTAAAATCATTAAGATGCAGATTTTTTTTTTTGTCAAACAAGATTTACCTCTTAACGATTTAGATGTTGTCTTTTAATGAAACTATTAAGAAATAAACAAACACATAAATGTCACTTTGAGTTAATTGGGTTAATGGATTTATTAGACAGGTGGGCTTAATATGTGCTAAAATATAAAACAAAAATACTCTCTTTGTATTTATTTTGATTTTTAGATCAGTATAAGTAGAAAGTGTAAATCATGTAGACCAAATTCGTAATTTACTTTTTTGATTTTGTACTTGATTTAACTATTGATTATTTAATTATTACAAATTCATTATATTTAAATAAATAGATTTTTATATTATAGTATCTAATTATTTAAGAATTAAATTATCAATTTCATACTAGTTCTAACAAAATTAACTATTTAGAAAATTAAAAAAAAATGCTTATTTACCCATTTTAACACTAATTTTGTCATATTTAAATTTAAATGTTTCAACGACATATAATTACTTTGTTCTCATTTTATGTATTAGTTACTCCAAATTATACTAGATATATTTATACTATATTATAAAGCATTTGACAAAAATTCTTAAAAATTATTTTTTATGCATAAAGTACTGCTTATTGATGCATATTATTTACAATTTAATATTACAAGTAAATTGAACGTAAGTACAATTTATTAAAGCTTCATTTTTGAATTTGTGTAACTAACTATAAATAAACATAATCAAATACGGAATAGACATCTCATTTTGAATATAAAAAATGTAAAATATAATTAGGATAAACAAATATTTAATTACTATCTTTATAAAAATTATATTATTAAACGATAAATAAATTACTTTGTTACTAAATCTAAATTAAATTATAAATAAAATGTTGAATTAAAAAATTACACAAAAAACCAGAACTTTAAATAGTAAATTTGACACTAATATCGATATATATATATTTTTAAATTTTATGATATATTTAAATTTATATTTTATTCAAAAATAAAAACATTATCATTTTCTCAAAACCGTATTATATCGACATAATAAATAATAAAATGAAACATTAAAGTTGAAATATATATCTCGCTATATTATGCGAGCACCCTTTTAATTATATATAAACTACTTTAAAAATTCTTAAAATATATAAAAATTGTGTTATCTATAACTTTATAGAAGTTGTATCACAATATGTAACAATAAAAATTATAAAATAAATTTAACAAAATTGACTTTTCAAAGATTTTGTAAAAATTGTATTAAAAAGTTATAAATTTTAATCAATTTTTAATATATCAAAAATTATAATTACTTTAATTAAAATTACTGAATAAAACTAATTAAATACAAACTCTATAAAATTCTATAAACTTATAATTAATTAAATATAATAAAACATTTGAAAAATAAGTTATGTAGTTACAACATCTGACCAAAAACGTCACAAAAACTTCTTATGAAAATCCTCTCTTTGTATTGAAAAACTTCAAAGTGATGCTTTTCACTTTTGAAAAACCGCTCAACCTCTCAAAAAACAAATTAGAGATGCGTTAAGTTTCGCATTAAAATACGTAACTTTTATAAAATTATATAAAATAAATTGATTAAAATATGAAAAATCTCTGAAAACCTCAAAATGAAACCTTTCACTATGTTACGACTTCTCACTAAAAACCTTATAAAAAACCTCTCACTATGTTAATAAACCTCACAAAAACCACATTATGGATGCTCTTATAAGTTCCATTGTCCTGCTATGCTCGAATTTGTCATCTGTTTTTTTTTAGGGGCCGTTTACCAAACACTTACATGGTAAGTGCTTACCGGTAAAATTTAAAACTACTATTTATTTACCGGGTAAGAATTTAATCCATCAAAACGACATTGTATGCAACAATTTACCCGGTAAGCGCTTACCATGGTAAGAGTCATCACCCTCACTTACCGCGTAAGACTCTTGGTCTTTGTCTTTTTTTACACTTGACCTTCCACAAATTGAAGAGGTGTCACTTATGGATCTAGTAACATTTTTAAAATATTGGGAAAGAAATAATGGATTTAAAGTCTGAAAATAACTATTTTAATTAATTTCCTAAAAAAATAAATAAACTCTTAACATCTTATCCAACAAAACATGATAAAGATATATATTTTTTTAGAAAACAAACAACAACATAATCTACAAAAACTAGAAAAGTATTCGTGCAATGCAACGAGACACATCTTGATTTTAATGTTTTATTTTATTATTTGTCTCTGTCGATGTTATAATACGATTTTATGTGTTTTTAAAGAAAGCAATAATGATTTTCTTTTTAATAAAATATAAATTTGAAGACATCATAAAAATTTAAAACAATATATATATCAATGTTAATATCAAATTAATTATTTATAAGTTTTCAATTATTATGTAATTTATTTATTTTATTATAATGCTAATATTTTATTTT